TATATATATAAAATTGTAGGTCAGACTTATACAATGCTTCTGTCGCATTAGTTGAGAACTTTAATTATTATCACATTGAGCAGTTAGTACAAGTCTAGCAGAAAAATCTTTATATAGCCTGACAGGCATGCTAACTTATTGTAATGGCACATTTAAAATATGGGAATTTATTGTAGTTCTTGAATTTGGAAAGCAGTTTTAGGTGTTACATAATTTGTGAATTATTGTGATGAAATCGCTGCTCATATTTAAAGGTCAGTCACAAAAGGATTACTTTGCAATTTATTCCCACACTGACATTAAAACGCAGAGTTTTTTAACCTTGATGCAACAAATCACTCATCCACAGCAGAGGTTCTTCATCAGGTACAATTATGACTCATGGAAAATGAGCACTTCATTACAGCCCCTCCGCTTAATGATTTCTACATTTTAATCAAGTGGACTTGGTGATGAATGAAATCCTGCCGGTGTTTAGTGTTTAGTGTTTGTGTGTTTGACACCTCACACACTGCTGCTCGTTCTGCCTGAATAACTCAGAGACTGTCTCAGGTGTGATAAAAATACAACTACGCACGGGTGTACAAAACTGTTTGTTTCTTTTATTTTTATTATTGATGCACTCAAATGCTTGTATTTTAATCAAGTTCAAGTAGGTTTGTTGTCATTCGCATCATATATGGTAGATGAGGTGGGACAAAATTATGTGCACAGAGTCCCAGTTACCCCCAAACATAGCAAAAATCTAATTTGTAAAAAGAAACAGTATGTAGAAAACAAACAGCAATGTAGTAATGTAAGAAACAGTAATGTAGTTTTATGACAAATTAAGGACAAAACTCAGATTTTCATATAATGCTCTGTAGCTTGTTCAGGAATGCTGAACAAGTTAGCATTACAAGACAAAAAGATTAAAGTGACTTTGAAAAAGCGTTCACGTTTAGGATCCAGATGGCATGAGCTTCAGTCACAAAGCGTATCCGACACGTGTTTTATTACAGCTATTAAAGAGACATCTGTGTTTAGATGTATGGGAATGTCGGTAAATGAGGTCAGATATTGTGGCACATTTATCGATCATGGTGCTTAAAAAAAATCAGCTCCTTTACAGGTGACTGCAGTAAATATTAATGCAGGAAGTGATGGGACTGACAGCCCATTGACAGTACCTTGTAGAGGGGTATTATAGTAGAGTTGTAAGTCCTCAACTACTCATTACATAGATGAGTGCACAGGTGGCAGATCAGCGGTGCAAACGCCATGTGCACTGATCCACAGAGACAGATACAATCAGACAGCTGGGTGAGCGCATGGACATGAGGAGAACTGTACAGGCCTGAACCTTTGACCTTTACAGTGAGGGAACTCAGGGCATCTGTTATTCTCATAGCTGGTTTTATTTAAGACCATTTGTTGCTTTTAGGGAAGCCTTATAACAAATAAGCACAAATAAGCACATACAGGAAGGAAGGTTAACTATAGAGAAGGTGATTCAGATATTTTTTATTAATTCATTCATAATAGCAGTAGCAAAACATTCCAAATCTCTTATTGGCTGCATTAATTGACCAAAATCTGAATTGTGCCCTTTAGTTTGTTTATTTATTATTTTAGTGCATGTTTCTGAGTTTTGGTTTGCCTGTTTGTATCTTTCCATGAGGTAAAGATGGACGTAGCAAAGCAGCTGATGAGATGCAAGGAAGCAGGACAGAGACGTGGCAAAATGAGAGCGAGTCATCTCCAGTATTGCTGTGATTTTCTATAACAATAATATCACACAGTCATGCGTGTGCAGAGCACCCGCGAACTGATGTTGAGTAACAACAAAGGCACGAAATAGATGTGGTTATCATAATTCCCACAGGAAATTCAGGTTATTTTTACCAGCTCGATGATCGCTCATGAATGCATAATTCAAACGTGCCCTGCTTTCTGACAGATACGCATTTTTTACCAAAAAAATACACCAACATGCTTTGCTTTACTATCTGCAACTGTACGAGCCCATTGTCCTTATGCTTAATGCATTAATGCTGTTTTTCTTAGACATTTTATTGTTGGATGTAACTGGGACCCTGTGTACACAATTTCGCTCCACCACATGTACCAGATGAGGTGCGAATGACAATAAAGAAACTCTGACTCTGACTGACTCTGATTAATAACCACACAAATGCAAATATAGTTTCTCATTTAAAAAAAAAAAAGATTAAAGTGAATAGAAGTTATTTTTGATGGTAATGAACATTTATGACCTTCTGTGAGTCAGTCTGCAAGTCTTTGAGTATGTGCTGTGTTGTTCTTATAGAATGAAATGCATTGAAACTATGTGTGTGTGTCTGTGTGTGGGTGTGTGTGTGTCTTTTTAGCCAAAAGCTCTGAAACTGCTGGGAATGGAGGTAAGTCTTGATCCCATCAAAGTAGTTATTTACTTCTTATTTTGCTGTTCTGCACCCTGATCCCTCAAGCCCCCTCATATGTAAAATTTACTGAGTGTATATAGATGGTAACAACACAATTGTCTGATATTTTAAGAGTGTGAAGTGTGCTTCACAGAAACTTGATTTTTTTGTAATTAAATTTATTTGTTGGCTGTCTGTATCATCTTATGGGACAGATAAATGCTCATTGCCAAATAATCAATCAAGAAAGTCATTATTTCTGAAGTTAGGTAAGGATTATTTTGACCTGATGAAACCCTAATGCTCCTAGCATGATGTTTATTGTATTAACTAACATTACAGAGTAGCAGTGGTAGGATGTAACTAAGTACAAGTACTTTGTTGCTGTACTTAAGTACATTTTTTATGTATCTGTACTTAAGTAGAATTAAATGTGGGTACTTTTGACTTTTACTCCACTACGTTTTACATTAAGTAGCTGTAGTTTCTACTACACAACATTTCTATAATGCATTGCGTTACAAGTTACATTCACGTTGCGTTTTTTGATTTTTTTTTGTTAGTTTGAAAGTAACTAATGGTGAGAGGGGAGCTGGTCCATTGAATCACTGCAAAGTGGGCAGGTAACATTAGACCTGCCTTCAAGAAGAGCTGGACCATCCATCCATCCATCCATCTATTATTTTTTACCCGCTTCTTCCATTTTGGGTCACAGGGGTCGTCGGTGCCCGTGTCCAGCAATCACTGTGCGAAGGGCGGGAGACACCCTTGACAGGTCGCAAGTCCATCACAGGGCCACATAGAGACAAACGAGATAAACGAGACAAACAACCATTCATGTTCTCACTCACACCTAGGGACAATTTAGAGTTAAGAGCTGGACCAATGATGTATATTCTAGTATATATGTCATTGAGCTGGACACACCCACAACACCGCTAACACACCCAAAATGGATTCCACAGTGGAGAGTCAGCCAGAAGATATGTGCCACCCATGGCCTTATTGAAAGATTATTGAAAGACTATTGAAAGACTATTGAAAGATTATTGAAAGATTATTGAATGATTATTGAAAGACTATTGAACGACTATTGAAACACTATTGAAAGATTATTCAGTACAGCAGGACATATTCTCTCTTTCAAAAGAAACAGATTGGACTAAGAAAACTTTGAAAACTAACTTCTTCTGAACTTGAACAAGAAATTCTTGCTGCAATATTAAAATGTGTCAGTTCATGGGATGTTAGGAGACAAGCGATGTCGCCAAATGGCTCGACACTCAGGTCCAAGTTTTGAAAATGGTGTCAGGAACACAAAGTTTGTTTTCTCAGTCATCCAGGTATATAACAACAAAAAAGGTTGAATCATGTCATCGTGTCAGGAAGCTAAAATATTGTTCACTATTGACCCATTACAAGGTTGACTAGACAGTATTTTAACTAGAGTTGATGACAAACTGGAGTTGAAATGATCAGGGCCTGGTCCTTTGTTAGTTGTGTCTAATGCTCCTTTTTTCTATCAGACAACTTTTACTTATATGTGTTTACTGCAGTTAAAATGACACAATGGTTTTGTTTTGTACTAAATAAAAACTTTAAAAGATATAATCATTCCTCTTTCTTATTTTGCTTAATGACATTTAACTGCACGTCATCCCTGAAAGTCTGACGCACAGAATCACAAGTCCAAGTGTGAACTGTGTCACAGAGTAAACACAATAAAAACATGTATTATCTGCAGCATTGCTCATTAAAATGACTCAACACTATTAATGTATTACAGAAAATATACATATGGTAGGCACATTTAAAGATACTGTAGACCATTGCATTAGTAATACATTCAGCAAGTACTTTTACTTTTACTGCTTTAAGTATTTTTAGAAGCAAGTACTTGTTTATTTTTACTTAAGTAAAAACGTTAATGTGGTATTTCTATTTTTACCAGAGTGCATTTTTGTCTGTTTATTTGTACTTTTACTTAAGTAGTGTTTGAGTACTTTCTCCACCACTGCAAAGTAGTTATATTTATGCAATTGACCAAATGACACCATAACCAGCAGTATCACAGGATATAAAGTATATATTCACATTTATCTAAGGTTTAGCCTCCATGAAGAATCCAGTTCTTAGAGGTTTTATTACCAGTACTGTATGTGTCTAAGAGGCATTTGGATTCAAACCTGTATGTCTGCGTGTTTTGTTGTCTTCCCTATTTGAAAATCCAGCTTCCTGTGTGTGATCTTTTCTAAATCAGACAACACTTCTCACTACTGAATTTTAAAATATTTGCAGTCATTGCTCAGAATCAGTTTTTATACTATTTTAGGTCTCTTGCTTTCTCCCTAACCCATTTATTATTAATTACCACCAGGATGACATGCCAATCCGCAGAGGTCGCCAGAAGACGACACGCAAACGAGAGGAAGAGGTGGACATTGACCTAGATGACCCAGAAATCAACCACTTCCCTTTCCCCTTCCATGAGCTGATGGTTTGGGCTGTGCTTATGAAACGTCAGAAGATGGCACTTTTCTTTTGGCAGCATGGCGAGGAAGCCATGGCCAAGGCCTTGGTGGCATGTAAACTGTGTAAGGCCATGGCACATGAAGCGTCTGAGAATGATATGGTGGATGACATCTCCCAAGAGCTCAACCACAACTCCAGGTTGGTGACATGAATATTGTTACACAGACTGGTTTTGTTTATTTGGTTTGGTTGAGGGATTATAGTGTTGTGTGGCTCCGAACAAGAGAAACTTATACTGTGCTAAATGTAAGTAAGTAACTTTTTATTTATGTAGCACTTTTCAAAAGGTTACAAAGTGATTTACTTCAGCAACAAGTGATATGGTTTTAGGCTTTCACTTGTGCATTTCATCACTTAAAAGAGCTTGTCATCCTGACTCATAGTGGAAGACTGGTCCATAGTTTGGTATCCTGGACAGAAAAAACTCACTCCACTTTTTTTGTTTTTGTTTTTTTTGAACCAATCCAAAGGACCTGACTTACCTTTTTTTTTTTTAGTTTTTTTCTACCTGGATTATTGAGCCTGCATCAGGATGTCACTCCACTTGTGTTTTCAATGAAGAACAAAGAACAAATAGAAGCTCAAGATCCAGACTTGGGTGTCTAGAAGTAGTGTAAGGGCTTAAAATTTCATTTATGTTAGAAGTAGACTGTAGTGGTGTGCGATACTGCAAAATTTGGTATTGAGCCGATACCAAGTAAATACAGGTCCAGTATCGCCGATATTGATACGATATAGATACGATATAGATACTTTTAAATAATTACGGTAAATTTTGATGACGTTTAAGTGGTTTGTGCTTTTTCCTTTGGATCATTTATTAGTTAAAACCCAGCATAGAATTAGGTAAAGTTTATAAGTAAATAAAAAATATGTTATTATAAGAATTTTTTATTTTTTTTTGAAAAGTAGAATAATAACAAATTTTCCCCATACCTTGTGATGGCTTGATTTTTTTTTTTCCTTAAACAAAGTGCACAAAATGACCACTCACAAATAAATTAAAACATTGCATTCAGAAACTATGATAATTAAATAAAAAATATCCCTTCATTGCACTCCTTTTCTGGATTTTTTTTCTTAAATAAACAAACTGTGCAAAGTTATCACACCGCAACAAATGTTATAAAACAGTAAAATATATTTTGGATATAAAGGAATAAAACAAAAATTCTCCTCTTAAGTGAATTTCTTGTCTGGATTTGAAAAATATAATTACAAATCAAAAATAATTAGTGAAAATACAATAAATAGTGTAAATAGCAAAACAACCTCCAAAGCCTTGAGTTCAAAGAAATATTCCCAGAAGCCTCTCTGAGGGCCCTGCCTGCCTCGTTGCCATGTTGCCTGCTCTGTGCTGGGACAGGAGCGGCACTTGCACAGACAGTCGACTCGCATCTTTGATGAAACCGCAGCAGTGCATACAGGAGAGAAACTGAAGTTAAAGTATTGATCTCGTTACACTGGTATTGATCAATATCAATACCCATGTTGGTATCTGGATCAATCCGCCCACCACTTGTAGACTGATTGTTTTTCACTTTATAGGCAAGAAAGAGGAGCTTAAACCACAATTTGAATAGGAGGCCAGTGTAAAGACAAATAAAACCAGGAGTGAAATGAGAACAAAATGATTATATTCTACATACACAACTCATTATTAATGTTTAGTGTATAGCTGAGAACTTTTAGCATATCGTTTAGCGTTCGTTTATCGTATATCTTAGTGTATATCTTAGTGTATATCTTAGATCCTTGTATACCGTTTCTTTTTACACTTTATTTTTTTGTTATTTTTGAGTGTAACTGGGACCTTGAGTACACAATTTAATTGCATCTAATGTACCACATGTGATGTGAATGACAGTAAAGAACCTTGAAGCTTGAAAATGGGGTCTTAGTGGGGAGTACTGCACCTGTAAATGTGAAGCAAAGTCTTGGCTTCAACAAGAATAAAGGACATTGAATATTAGCATGACAACACAAAAGCATGCATAACTGTTTCTAATTGTTGATAACAGAGGGCATATCTTGGCTTTATTTCTTAAATGAAAACAGCTTGACTGAACAATCTTAACATTGTCAAATTTGAGTTGGTGGTTAAAGATGCCACCTTATTTTTTTCTTTTGCAGATAATGTTTTGTAAAGTTTAAGAGCCAAAACATGTGTATGAGAAAGAGTAAAAATAGAGAACTTGATTTAGGGCAAAAACTAAGACTTCAGTTTTACTTCAACTGAAGACATCTGTTAACCTATTTCAGTGAGGCAGCTGTGCAGAATACTAACAATTGTTCAATTCCCAAGCTTTATGGGCAGGTAAATTTGGATATCTTTGGCATAGAAATGATAAACTGTACAACTGCATTTCTGTATCAAGTGTATTTAAAGAGAATAAAGCAGAAGTAAACCGCTGAAAATGAACATTAAATGGGTATAAAACAACAACTAAAGCATTGAAGGAATATCGTGTTACAACATCCCTTTAACTGATTTTATAAAAATCATGCTCTTGAACCCATAAATTCCTCACGAGTCTGTGGGAACATCCTTGAACCAAACATTTAAAAAAAATTAAATACATCTAGCTGTTCTCTTTGTGTCCCACACCTTCATATGTCATAGTTTTTATTTTTATTTTTTTTTTTTTATGTTTTTATTTTTTTTTTATGAGTAAAATGGTTTTGGGATGTGGATCTAATGATTGAGTTAAACAGGTGTACAAAGTGCACTGTATGTTGTTGTTCTGAGCCAAGCTTTGAAAATCAGAAATGTTACTTGAATGAATGATTAATGTCAAGTTAGTTGCAAGTCTAGATATAATTTTCTACCCACAAACCACTGCTGTTGCTAACTGGCCTGCTACTGAGCTCCCATGGGGTGTAAGTGACATACTGCAGAACTCTGATAACATCCAAAAAAGTTCAATCTGGTCCTCTGGACATTCAAAAAAACAAAACAAAGCTGATGATAACATGCATCAGCTTTGGATAGCACTGAGATTAGGAAATGCAAGAGATGAAACTGCCAGCTTTGAAAATAACTTTACTCAAGGGGAATTTAGATGCAGTAGTATGGGGTGCCGTTTGTACACAGTCAAAACTTAATAGCAATATATTGATTTAGCCTTTCATAAAAAAAAGTTGTTTTTTTTTTAAGTCAGCTTTTTACCATGTTATTCATACATTTATAAATGCCATAGTTCCAAACTAAATATTAATTTACCAGCTAAATATTTAGTTTACAAACTAAATACTTAACTTGCAAGTTAAATATTTACAGAGATGTCTCCACTCCTCCACCTGTGTGCGTTCTGCCAATGCAGGAGATGCAGGAGATGCAGAGGAGAAACACTGCTGCTGCTGGAGAGTTGTAGGTAACCAGGAAAACCTGGAGTGGACTTTTAGTGGTTTGATTATTCTATTAATCAAGTGGAATGGATTCCTTCAAGAAGAAACAGAAACATGACCAAGTGAATTAATATTTCAAGGTAAATGTGGGGTGGGGGGGGGGGGGGGGGGGTCCAAATGAACATTTTTTTTAAATGTGTGGGGACACATCCCCTCCACATATAATTGTTAATTGTTGCAACGCCTATAGTCCTTCTTTTTTTCTGGACATGGCAAACGAGTTAGCAGAGAACATCGAACGAGCTGTTCTAACGGCTTTTATTTTGATAATCCACTTCCGCGTTTCGGCAAGAAATTTGCATATTAGCTAAATATTTAGGTTTGAGCTAAATATTTAACTTGCAAATTAAATATTTAGGTCTGTGTTAAATATTTAGTTAGCAAAGTAAATACTTGTTTTGGAAATTATTTGTTTAGCTTGGAAAATAAACATGTAAGTAAGAGTTAAATATTTAATTAGCAAATTAAATATTTAGTTTAGGAATTCAATGTTTAGCTTAGAAATTAAATGTTTAGTTTTCAAAACAAATATTTAGCTTTGAAATTAAATATTTCATTTACACGAAAATATTTAGTTCACTAACCAAGTTAAATATTTAGTTTGTAAATTAAGCATTTAGCTTGCACATAAATATTTAGTTAGTGTGTAGCTAAATATTTAGCTTGCTAAGTAAATATTTAACTTGCAAATTAAATATTTAGTTTGTAAACTAAATATTTAGCTCATAAATTAAATATCTGGAACTATAACATTTATAAATGTATGAATAACATAGTGAAAATATGACTTTGCTGTTAATTTTTGACTGTGTAACTTTACAAAAGGCACGTCATATTGTAGCACAGCCACACATAAGCTAACTTTGCTAATGCACATCTTTTTGAAGACAGGTGTTTAGAGCTGGTGTATTTTCAGTTTAACTTCCTTAGAGAAATTTTCCAGCTTCCTGCAATGAGCTCTTTTAGTTTAACTGCCTGCATTTTTTCTTTTGTTTTTTACATAATTTGTTACATTTGTAAAGGTTTTTGTTTAATTCACTGTATGTGCTTGTATAGTCCAAGTAGATATTTGTTATTTTAAATATTTATAGACTCTTGGTGATGGGCAGCACGGTGGCGCAACTGGTAGAGCTGCTGCCTCTCAGCGAGCAGGTCCTTGGTTCAAACCCCGGTCCAGGGGCCTTTCTGGGTGGAGTTTGCATGTTCTCTCCGTGCATGCGTGGGTTTTCTCCGGGTACTCCAGTTTCCTCCCACAGTCCAAAAACATGCATGTTAGGCTGATTGGTAACTCTAAATTGTCCCTAGGTGTGAGTGAGAGAGTGAATGTTTGTTTGTCTCGTTTGTCTCTATGTGGCCCTGTGATGGACTTGCGACCCGTCCAGGGTGTACCCCGCCCCTCGCACAGTGATTGCTGGACATGGGCACCAGCGACCCCCGTGACCCAAAATGGAATAAACGGGTAAAGAAAATGGATGGATGGATGGACTCTTGGTGTTTCAGCTTCTGCAGGAAGCTCGTTCTCATGATGTTATGCAAACTGAAAAAAGACTGTTGCATTTTTTGCAAGGTTGTGCAAGATTGCCTCATCTAAGTTATTTGAAAGTCTTTCTAAGAAACAGGAAGTTGTTCATCAGTTCATACAACTGTACTGAACTGGATGTGTGGTGCATCTGTGTCATTGTGTGTCCCTCAACTTCCAGCAGTGTGTTTGTGTGTGTGTCTGAGCATGAATGCAGTTTGTTGTTTGTTTTTTGTCTGTATATAAAAATGATCTTTCATAGGGTGAAATCAGGACAAAATTAAATAAACGATTCATGTTTTCAGGGAGTTATTTAAGTAAAATATGAGTGCAGATGTTTATTGACATCTACCTTTGTGTTGATGGGTTTGAAGTTGAGTGTTTGGAGATTTTTCACATGACATATCACCAGCCTGTCCATACACCGGACGTCCTGCTCAGATTTGTCATCTCAACAATGACCGCTCGGACCATTTGTTTCTGTTTTGAAGAAATTTCCTCCAGCTGGAAAGTTGTTTTCCTCCATGAGAGAAAGATAATCTCTTCCCTGCAGATATGAAGCCCATCAGGTTTTTTTTTCTAGAACTTTATTAACAACACAAAACGGAACAATGCAACAAGATGCAAATACAAACTCGCGAAGGGTGTCATAACTACATTTAATAATATAATGAAAGAGAAAAAAATAAACATAAAAAATAAAATAAAAAAACAAAGGGGCGCGACTTTATGAAAAACTTAAAACAATACGTTTTTATCTGTTGTGAGATGATTAGCAGCTTTGCGGGTTTTTTTTTTTTTTATCTACTTAATGGAGAATAATATGACTTAAAATCATCCATGAATAGAACAGGAGATGGAGGGCTTATTATCCCTCTACTTACTACAGTGAATGTGATACTTTGATATAAGTACAACTATATAAATGACATCAGAGAAAGCTGAGCTTAAGTTATCCATATAAAATAAAATGGCATCAGCATCAAAAGAAGGTTTGAGATTTGAGTTTGTGATAGTTTGAGATTAATCCAGTTAATGCTACATGTTTGTCTCTTGCCCTACAACTGGACATCGTTACAGTAGACTTAACCCATTACTGGAGTTTTAATTATGTGTTTAAGCTACTAATAAACACGATGGATGATGATCATGTTGCTTTATGCTAGAGCAGGGGTGTCAAACTCACTTACAAAAGGGGGCCACAATTAAAACCTTTTTCAAATTAAGGACCAATTTCAGAAACTACATTAACTCAAATCAGATACCCAACATATTTTCTTGGTACAGGTTTCTCAACAAGAGCTTGATTGGTTTCATTTGATGGTCTCTGTTGTGCTTTCAACATCATAATCAAAGATTACTGAAAAAAATCAAGAGATAGAAGTATTTTACGTTTAACATATCATCTTAGGGACCAGATAAGATGTCAACGAGGGCCACGTTTGGCCCCCGGGCCTTGAGTTTGACACATATGTGCTAGAGCATTGGTAAGAAGACAGTGATTATTATAATAATTTCATATTGGCTAGTGATTTTTTTCCACCTTAAACTTAACTTAGGCTATGTTTCTTAGACTGTGGCTAGGATGCGTGAGAGAAGTGGAGCGTGTTCTATTCACATAAGGAGAGCTGTTGGTCAGGCTGGTCTTGTTGTGCCATTAACTCTAAAATAGTTATTGAATCAAGTGTTTACTTATGTAGGTAAAACTAGATGTTAAACAACCCGTTAAAATACACCAGACTGCAGGAATTGGCATCGACTTCATTAAAAAATTTCTGGGGGAGGACCCCCCACATTACAAATGCTTCTGACATCAATGGCCAACATGCTGCTAAACAAGTACACATATGGTGTTCATAGTGCACTTAACTTAACTCAGTCTTGGTGATTTGTGTCAACAAGAGGACATAGTAGCATTTATAGTTCTATGAGCATTTGGATTTTATACATCAAAATACACTTAACAGTTAGAATTTGAAGTATATTTACTGTATATTATGGTAATTTATTCTGTATTTTGCCAGATTATGGTGATTCTTGGGTAGTGACGATGGGGCCCTTGAAGATTATTACCCAGGATACAGCGAAACGTTAATCTGGCCCTGAATTTGATAACCGATGCTATAAATGCACAATTTTTGTTTTTCATTTTCCTTTCCCATATTTCATCACACATGATAAATGCAAGCATGGCAGTGTGTTTACAAGTACATGTGCGCAAATCTAACTATCTTCTGAATTTTGTTCAGATGATCAACGTTTTTTTTATCGTTTGATTTTGACATTTGGACAAAATAAATGTCACTTTTTTTAAGTCTCTGAACAAGTTCTGCTTATATTTTCACAGAGAGTTTGGCCAGCTGGCGGTGGAGCTCCTCGATCAGTCCTATAAGCAGGACGAGCAGATGGCCATGAAGCTGCTGACATATGAGCTGAAGAACTGGAGCAACGCCACTTGCCTTCAGCTTGCAGTGGCAGCCAAACACCGAGACTTCATCGCTCACACCTGCAGTCAGATGCTGCTGACCGACATGTGGATGGGACGCCTGCGCATGCGCAAAAACTCTGGTCTGAAGGTAGTTTAATATGAGATGATATTTAGAATGACCACTGAGTAAAGACTTGTATGAAAAGATCTTTGCACGTCATGGTGACTTCAACCTGTTGCGTTAAAGCAACAGGTTGTATTTTGATACTTATATGCCCTTTTGGTGTTTTAAAAGGAAATGAAAAGACATTCCCAGATTGCCTCTACACATCTGCTTAGTGGTCTTGTATGAAATCACATGAATAAATGAACATGTGGTAAAATGGAGCAGAAGTAAGTGCTGATTAGTTTTACAAAATCCTCAGAATAAATTAACCAGCTGGAGGGAGAGCCTGTTTAAAATTAGTATGCTGCAATTATGCATCTACTACATTTATTTGTACAGGTTATTTTATATACATTTTTGAAATACAACCCAACACATAGTCAGAAATTGCCTTTTGTCTTGATTTTGTTTAACTATAAAAATGGGACAAAAATATCTCACTTTTTTTTTGGGGGGGGGGGGGTCATTTATTACATATCTACAGTTCCATTTAATATTTAACTATTCAGCTTTTAAATGTCTGGTGTGAGCTTCTTTTAATGTTCAATACCTTTTGACCAGCACTGCCCATCAGTTTGGCTGCCAGCTTCCCAGCCCTCCACAACATTTCTGCTGCTTTTAAGTCAGAACTTCGTTACTTTTTTAAAACAACTTGGTCACTCCACAAACTAGCTCTGCTTTTTTTCTTTAAACAATATGTGCTGAAACATTTCGCATCTTGCAGAATGTCCTGCTATGATCAAATTACATTTATAAAGAGCTGCTCTGCCTTTTTCCTGTTAGAATTCACTTTGTAGATCAGACCTTATTCTTCATAAGAAGGTGACTACGCCTAAATGCAGCCACACACACACACACACACACATACAAACACACACACACACACACACACACAAAGAATAAACCATGAGGTGTTAGTCTGTCTGCTAACAATGCCCTCATCTGTCAATTTTTTTAAATCTATTGAGCTTTAAAACACAGTAGAAAGGCAATCTTGTTCTTTTTGGAGAACTATGTGTGTTATTCAATTTGCAGTCCTGCAAAATACACCATTTCATGGTTCTTCTGGTGGGGAAACTCACTACCTTTAATTCAGTTCAATTCATTTCAGTTTATTTATATAGCGTCAAGTCCATTAAGCATTAACCAATGTGAAAGATGCCTTAAAAGACCAAGCAGACTATTCCACGTCTTGTTTATAAAATAATCCTGGGACCGACATTTTTTTCATATAACGTCCATGTTTCTGATTATATCATTGTTGCCAAATATAGTGTGGGTTTGGTATTTCGTCTCTGAGTCCATCAGTTCATGAACATACTTCTCAACATGCCACAAAGTGATGGGAGCGTCTTCACCCTCGGTGCCTACAGGTGAATGCTGGCGGTGTTGCAGTGAACTGAAACAAGCCAGGCTGCATCAGTGGCAGCACAGAGTGAGGCAGGTCTGCCTCCGAAATAGACCATCCAGATTGGAAAAATATGCCTGTTATGTCATGTTGCATGTGAGGCAAAACACGTGTGGAGCAGCAGTGAAGCTTGAGCTGACTGCCTGAAGTAGACCACAGGCGTTGCTCTGTTAAAGGCCAACCTAGATCTCATCCATCCATCCATTATCTTTACCCACTTTTTCCTTTCCGGGTTGTGAGAATCTCTGGTGCCCATGTCCAACTATCACTGGGGGACACCCTGGACAGGTCTCCAGTCCATGACAGGGACACATGGAGACAAATGAGACAACCATTCACTCTCTCACTTACACCTAGGAACAATTTAGAGTTACCAATCAGCCCAAATACCTGATTTAAATGTGACTGAAATTAACTTTTAATCTTTTGAGTTCATATGATTTATCAATGCTATACAAACACATGTCAAGCCTTTAATAATACTTTTTATCTTTGTTCTGTCCCTATTTCTGCTCTACTTTTTATTCTTGCGATAAACCTATAAAATTTCAATGGCCATTCAAGAATGTGGACAATCCAGCTTGGTTTTGCAAACTCTTGGGAACCGTGGTGTCTTAATATTACAAATACAACAAAATTGCTTTAATTGTTTTAACCTTGCAGAAATTTAAAACCAATGTAGCAATGATAATTTTCCACCATAAAACACAGACAAGTTTATCTTTCAGTTAAACGTGAATTTTTTCCAACCTCTGTGACCTGTCTCATACAAAAACTTCTTTTTTTTTTTAATACCTTTTAAATGTGATGGCCTCAAAACATATTTACAGAATTGTATTTATAGTTTTCTAAAATACTACACAGTAAATGAGACTAACTGCATGCCGATTATATATTCAGCTCAATCCTTACAGTTAAAGCATGTGACCTTCATTAGATAATATGGTAATGATTGAATAGTAAGTAATATAACACATTTTTGTAGCGTTGTAGATTTATTTAAGGAGTTTACGCCTTGCTGTGCAACAAAAGACCCTTTACCACAGTACTCCATCCCTAACAGGAGAGGTACTGCAACTCCTGAGACAAAAACAGTTTGAAATGTTATAGAAAACGAATAAGAAAGAAGTTTATAATTATTTAAAGAGAACCATTAAAAGTGCCCCAGCAGAATGCATGCTACCATTACTTAATTTGTGTAATCTACTTTAGTCATGGGGAAAAAAAACCTTATTATCCAATAAAAGTTCAACTTGCCCTGTAGATTTTGTGAATTCTGATCTTTATTTGTGTGGGTTCTCCTGATGTGTGGTGGTTTACGATGACAGAGAGCAGCCGCTCAGACCAGAAAGGTTGGAGCTGTTTTTAATGAAGCGTTGCCCCTGGATGTGCTGAAGGTTGAGCTCACACTCATTCATACAGTGACTGAGACAGGAGGATGAGCCTGGCCTGGTCTGCTGGCTTTACAGAGCAGGGGAGGCTCACAGTGTGAGGTAAATATGGTTTGGCCTTTGCTGGAGGAAAGGAGAGAGAGTGCATCGTGAAGACAAATTCACCGGAGCAGAAAGACAATGAGGAACAAACAAGTGCAGCAAAGAAGATTTAAGCCCCTGCAGGAGTTTAGGATGTAACAACATTGTCAAAACATTTTTCTTAACTTAATATAGTTGTAAAATCAGACAATATCACATATGGCTACAGGAGGCTGCAAACTGTGAATTGCAAAAAGGTGCACCATGCTCCCTTCAACTCATCAATAGATTTGACAGGATCTGTCCATTGGATTAATGTGACTACAAAAAGCAAATGCATTAATTTATTTTCTGTCATTAAATAAATTCACTTGTTTGTTTTATTAATTTTAAACTATCAATATTTCCAAGTTTGCTTTAAATCCATAATTCATTGTTAGAAAATAAAATTGAAAGATTAAAGAATTAAGAAAACGTTCAATATTGCACCAGTTTTTGCCTTGTTCTTTAGAACGTTGTTGGGATTTCAGCACAGCTTACTTAAAGCCTACATTTCTTGTTTTTTGTTGCTGAAATGTAAATAGCGCATGCCAACACCATGCACGCAGGCTCATGCATGATGAATGGTCACATGGGCTATTCTATCATGTGAGATCCATCCATGTGTGTATGTCACTATAATAGGTTGTTTGTTTGTTTTAGACTTTCCTTGTCTAACTTTTCCATGAGATTCAGCTTTTTCTTCTAACTTTCCTTTTCCTCTGCATCTCTCGTGCCCAACAGGTGATTTTAGGTCTACTTCTGCCGCCGTCCATCCTGAGTCTGGAGTTCAAAAACAAGGATGAGATGTCCTACATGCCCCAGGATCAGGAGACCTATCTACAGGAGAAGGAAGAGGAGGAGCCTGAAAAACCAGTGAAGGAGAAGGAAGAGGAGGACATGGAGTTCACAGTAAGATCTTACTGTGAGACGCAGTACAACTCCGTGGTGAGAGACCTCAGTCCTGCATCTCAGAATCTGTACACATATCCAGACAACACAACACGCACACAGTGTTCGACTCCAAAACTGATCACTGACTTCCAAAAATCTCTTGTGGACATATTTGACGTTTTATTTTAGATGTCCACAATGAGATAGGCACAAGCATGAACACACAGTCCTCCTCACACACACACTTTCTTGTCTGGCCAACTGGACCCTTCCAGTGAAATGGGCCTTACCTGTTTCTCGTTGTCTTAGCAACGACTTGGTGTGGAGTTGTAGCGTCTCAGTCTGTCGCCGCTCGTAGGTTCCCTCTTGTGTGTGTGTGTGCTTCTCTTTCTGCTCTCCTTCTTGTTTTCTTTTTGTTTCTCCTGCTTTCTATCTTTTATTTTGCACCCCCCCCCCACCATTTCTCTATCTCTTTCCCTCTTTCTCTTTCTCCTCCAAGCTCAGGTTCTGACTGAGGTACAGTACCGTATGCCAGCCGATTGCTGCTCCTCACACTCTCTCCCATCAGAAATGGTTTGCTGCAGCATACCACTCAGCATGTCAGCTGCTGAGCATGGGAGGCCCAGGCTTTTGCATTATATAACTGTGTCTGCATGATGCTGCAGGGCTTTAATCATGCGGAGTCTGAGCACCTTCTCCCAGCTCACAGTGGAAGAGTTGGTCCATCTGCATACACATGGATGTACAGCAGGAATAGGATACGTTCTATTTCAGTTCATTCAGTTCTTGTGATGATACTGTGATCCAGTTTGTGTTCATTCAATGGCGACTGGTGTTTGGAAAGTGATTGCAAAAACCCAAATGGGATCAGTATTCCTCTCAAGAACTGACTAAACTGAAGTTGTACTCCTTCAGTGCCACTGTACATACTTTCCATCTGCATACAGCTAAGCCAGCAAGCCAGTGCAAACACTCACAAAAGCAGCCTTGTAGATCTGAAAGCCCTTGAGGCTCTCTGGTATTAAATAAAAAAGCCTTTTCCCAGAGAACACATTTGTAATGAGTCTCTTTCTGTTGCCCTGGCTTCTGACTGCACAAATGCACCTTTGGGTTCTTATGAATCACACAAAGATTCATACAGCTGCACACAAACTGCTTCACCACAGAGGGAGATTGTATTGTTGTATCCTCAGATGCGTCAGTTAAACCACACTGCTGATTGGATAATAATCATTTTCAGTAAAGATCAGAGAAGCACCAACCAGAGTTTTATAGCCTAATTGATTTCTGATGTTCACGAAACTCCAGATTTTATTTATCCACAAAAACTTTATTTACCTACAGACTTTTTTCTAAGTAGGTTGATATGATCATTTGATTGGGCGTCAGTAATTGATTACATTAAATATGTTGACATTTTCTTCAAAACACATTTGAGAGTGTTTTGTGTCCATTATTGTAAAATTAATCCTAGATACATCTTCTAAGTTATTGGACAGAAGTACACATGCAAATAAAATGCAGCAGAAAAAATGTGTACGTTATTTATAAACCAGATTATAGCTCTTTCACATTATTTTTATTTATTTATTTGTTTATGTATGTATGTATGTATATATGTATGTATGTATGAATGTATGTATGTATGAATGTATGTATGTATGTATGAATGTATGTATGTATGAATGAATGTATGTATGTATATATGTATGTATGTATGTATGTATGTATGTATGAATGTATGTATGTATATATGTATGTATGTATGTATGTATGTATGTATGAATGTATGTATGTATGTATGTATGTATGTATGTATGTATGTATGTATGTATGAATGTATGTATGTATGTATGTATGTATGTATGTATGAATGAATGTATGTATGAATGTATGTATGTATGTATGTATGTTTGTATGTATGTATGTATGTATGTATGTATGCATGAATGTATGTATGTATGTATGTATGTATGTATGTATGTATGTATGTATGTATGTATGTATGTATGTATGTATGTATGTATGTATGTATGTATGAATGTATGTATGAATGTATGAATGTATGTATGTATGTATGTATGTATGTATGTATGTATGTATGTATGTATGAATGTATGTATGTACACTATGTATGTTCAGTATGTATATGTATTAATTATTTATTTACTGTATTTATTTATTTGTTTATGTATGTATGTTCAGTATGTATGTATGTAGGTATTTATTTATTGTATTTATGTATTTACTTATTTGTTTGTTTGTTTATTTATTTGTTTATGTATGCATGTTCAGTATTTATTTATTTATTTACTTTATTTTTTTATTTACTATATTTAGTTATTTGTTTGTTTATGTATGTATGTATGTATGTATGTATGTATGTATGTA